CATTTTCCTCAAGTAGATACTCTCCTTGGAGAGAACAATCATGAGAGAAAGAAGGGCTGCTTATGCACAGGGAGACAGCTGAGGGGGCAGGAGTCCATGGAGGGATGGACACAGGGAAGAAGTAACTATGGGGAGGAAGTGGGAGGGGAGCTGTTGCATTGTGGTAAACTGTGGTCAATATCACAAGACAAAGTATATGTGAACTGCTGTATGGAAAGTGAATTTGCTCTGTAAATCTTCACCCAAATACAATAAAAAGAAAACAGTATTAGTGTCAGCATCAGAAACACAATTTAATTTAAAAAGTTCAATGTCTTAAGATTGGTATCTCTCAACACATTGGGTCTGAAAAGCATAGAGCTAATGAAAGAATACTGTTTAAGAAAACAAACATTCTTTTTTTCAATAATTACCCTAAACCAAAGTAGAATATGCTATTTCTTTTTTGAAGGAAATACACATTTACCTAAAAACAGTGATAAGCCAACAACATAGCTTCTCTGATCACAATATTTCAAAATTTTCATTCTTTTCATAACTCCCTTCCTTCCAGAAAAATAGATCTTGAAAGTGATAACATTTTCCCCCACATGTTGTTCAGTAAAATACTTACATAAATAGAATTTAACTCACTTGTAAAATATCAGGTATGGCTTCAAACAGTTCAAGTAGTTTGGTAAATCCATAGTATGAGAGTTTGCACTGCCGACCAAAGTGGTGATGGTAAGAAGGAATAAATTTATTGAAGGGCATCCGGAAATGGGGTTGGTGACGGAGCAGGTCAACAACATCTTTGGAAAACTGTTTTGTCCTTTCTATTTCATCCTGGGTCCGTTCTTTAAAAAACAAACATAAATCATCATCTTCTACTCATTTGTGTTTCTTTAACATCCACAATAGTATTGACTCCTATTCATACTTTATAAGAGGTAATAGTTTGTCTTCCAAACACACAATCTAAAACAAACACTTTTAACTCTTCTTTCTTTGCAAGTGGATCTCACACATATTTGGGGGTAGAAGTCAGGACACTATTATGGTACACTATGAAATACATATACATGTAACCCTCTGCTCCCCCACTCCAAAAATATGTGTGTGTATGTGTATACAGTAAAATCTGCAAAAGCTGAAACTGTGTAAAGTGGAATCCTGCCAAAGAATGAAAACTCAAATATTATCCACTAAAACAAGCAACAGAAAAGTGCTAAGTTTGTACCCTGTCAAAGCAGAAAACCTGTGAGACCCAGAAAAAAAAATGCAGTTCCACTGAGTTCTGGCTCTCAAAGTTTCATTATATGTCTATATGTATGTGTGTATGTGTATGTATACACACATGACAATGACATAATACACAGGTCTCCATTCTTGGAAATGTAATACAGAAATGATTTTTGTGACATCACACTTCTGAACAGTCACATACTTCTTTATTTATTCATTTCAGCTTTAGTTAAAACTCAGCAGCAGAGAAGTATCAGGCATCAAAAAGTTTAACAAAATACAAAGGAGAAAAAGGTTAAACTCAGATTTTTTGTTTCTATTCATTTTAATATTGGAACCGGGGAAAAACTGGCATTACTAAATTTGGCTGCGGAGACCATGAACTCCTGGATATCAGTTTTCTGCAGGAGTACAGTTTAAGATCATGATTAATATTAGTGGGAACACAAGACAGTAGGTAGGTATCCATCCTGTCTCCCAGACCTCAAATGGAATTACTAAAATTACGAAGGCACAAAACAAATAACAACATTCATTAACCTTTCTTTCCTTGTCAAGGGTGCCTCCAGTTTAAATAGCCACAGATGGACTAAAGAAGGTATTTTAACAAAGTGTTGGTTATGCCTGTTTACTTGAGAGTGAATTCTAAAAAACTAGCATGCTTTTCTTTTTCTTGACCAATGGCTTCACCTACTTGATGAACCTAGCATAGTAGAGCAGTTAGTTGTCAAACTGTACTTCCCATGGAATCTTCAGAGGGTACAGAGAGTGGGAAAAGGGCATTCCCCATACGAATTCATTTTAAAATAACTACTGAGATAGACTAAAGCCTTCTGGCAAACTGAGGTCAACGTACCTCTTTTGGGGATGCAAATCACCATTTCGTTATCTTGTTGAGACAAGCAAATGGTTGTGTCTGGAATTTCTGATATGATATCATTCAACTCACAAACACCATATTCAGTGACATCCCAGTCCTTCGAGAAACACCTAGGTTTTAAAAATGGAAATGGACAAAGAAAAAAAGTATTATCACTTGCTAAAATAATTCTGTACATTTTCCAAAAGGATGCTAAATAGAAAACTTACATAACTGTTCAAAATTTGAGGGAAGAAAAGGTACTAAAAGAGTGTTTGCTTTTTTTTTTTTCCTTTTCCTCCTCATCAACTCACCAATGATACGCCTGTGAGAATTCTCTCACAATGACCTGTTTGCTGGCTTGGGATTTGAGAAGTTTTAGTAAATCCTGAGTAAAGCGCTTCACCTGGGCCCTGTGGGTAAGCGTCAGCAAACGTTTGGAGCCCAGTCCCAGAATCTGCAAATCAAACACTTTGATTATTTAAACTTGTAAGACGTTGACAGATTGTGACTTTCTTACTGATGGCTCGCTCTCTTTTGTTACCACCCTCAGAGAACAACTTCCTTTAAATAAGGTATCTGCAATTGGAAACACATATAGATCAAAATGAAGACGGTCAAAATGAACAACTGCCTTTCTTTTTTTTGCCCTGCATACCCTTTCCAAAGAGTCATGTGTTCAGAAATGAAATGCATTTATTATCAGTTTGAGCAATTAATTTTGTCTGTAAAAGACAGGTGAATATTTCCAGGCAATTTTTAAAAGTTAGACACCTTAACAGGCGGATTTCATAAGAACTAATGCTAAACTGTAGCCCAGTAACAACTCTCCCAGCTCACTTCTGAGAAAGGTTAAGACCTTAATTTTTACATATGCACATGCATAGATGTTCACAGTAGTTCCCCCGGCAACAGTAAACAATTCTGGAGAGAACTGTGCTAGGATGAACATCAGTCTATAGAGGTTAAAGGAAAATATACCTCAGAGCTTATAAGCAATTTTTTAGTTGGAAATCTGTAGCTTTCTGAAAAACTGAGGAAAGTATTTACAGGATGTTTTGCTCAGAATCAACAATTTTAGGAGTCAGGTTACCACCTATCTTGTTTCTTTGGCCGGGGCAGCCAAATCCATGAGAGAACATTCCTGTCTTTAAAGAAATAATGATCATTACTTACCTGCAATACATGAGGCACTGCTTCTAATAATTCAATCAACTTGGAATAGCCATAGTCTGACACTCGGCACTGCTTCGCAAAATGATGGTGATAGGATGGGATGAAATTACTAATTGGTGTGACACAGGATGACTGGTTCTTTAGTAAGTCAATCACTTCCCTACTGAACTGGATCAGCTGGGGGTTCCCTACAGGACTTTTAGAACGCAGAAGCCAAGGGTCTAGATATGTGAGGAGAAAAAGAACATACGTAAGACAAAGTATGATTTCACCAGCTGAAATAAAGCTAATGTTTCAGTCCCTTGTTTGAGCTCCATCATGACCAAGGAGACTAAACTTTAAATAAATAGCTGCTTTTCTTCTCAACCTCTAAACTCACAGCCCATATCGTCAGTATGCTAGCCAAAGACATTTATGGATTGGCAAAAAATACTTCCCCTTCCCTGTCTCACAGCAGAGGTGAGGCATGGGAAGACTAAACACTGGACACCTACCTGCATTTGGAGGTGGGGGCTTATTGTGAATCCATTTAACTACTTTGACACCATTCTGTGCTGTGGCAATGTTTACACCTGGAACACAGGTGATGAGGTGTTCCAAGGGAACACCCCCTCTATTTTCCTGTACCACTTCTAGTTCACCAAACTCTGCAGCATAACAATCTGGAAAGCTGAAGTGGAGGGTAGGGGATTATTAATTAAAATAATGAAAAGCAAAGCATCTACTAAACAGAAGACTTTATTAAAAAAAAATTTTAGAGAGCTTTATTTTAAAGTAAACATTTAACAAATAATTAGCTTAAATGCCCATGATCCCGCTTTGAATGTTAAAATCAAGGTCCTAGGGAAGCACTCACTATGGTGTTTTACCTCTTTGATGCATTTTGATGGTACTAGAAATTCTCAGTTGTTTAGTAGAGGGGGCTAAAAATAAAGCAACTGGGTTCCAAGTCAGTTATTCATCTGCTTCAATGTTCTATTGGCATTCAGGCAACTTAGTCTGTATTGTTGTTGTTGTTGTGTGCCGTGGAGTCGGACACGACTCATAGTGACCCCTCCCCTGGGGTTTCTGAGGCGGTATCACTATGGAAGTAGATTGACCCACCTTCCTTCTGAGGAGTGGCTGGTGGGTTTGAACCGCCAGCCTTCTGGTTAGCAATCAAGTGCCTTAGGCACTATGCTACCAGATCTCCCTAGTCCGTATTACTGTTTGTATTATGTCTACCACTGTGACCAATGGTGTGGTTAAACAGATTATTATTATGGCTAAATAGTTTTTAAAGAATACTTTTTGTCTAATTTGGACATTTATAAGATAAATCCTGACATAGTTCTATTATAAAAAAAATCAAACTCACTGCCGTCGAGTCAGATCTGACTCACAGCGATCCCTCCTTGAGTTTTTGAGGCAGTATCACGATGGAAGAAGGTTACCTAATTTTCCTTCCAAGGAGTGGCTGATGAGTTTGAACCACCAGCCTTCTGGTGAGCAGTCAAATGCTTTAGGTGCTATACCACCAGAACTACTTATTCATGTTTAAGTTTCTAGAATTTCCCACAAATTCAAATTTTTTGTTGGAATACTAAGTGAATGGATCCCATTTCAGATACACTAATTACCTACAACTAGGAGCTCTGGTAGCATGGTGCCTAAGGCACTTGACTGCTAACCAGAAGGCTGGCAGTTCAAATCCACCAGCCACTCCTCAGAAGGAAGGTTGGGCAATCTACTTCCGTAGTGATACTGCCTTGGAAGCCCAAGGAGGGGTTGCTATGAGTTAGGTCTGACTGGACGGCATATAACAACAACAACAATTGCCTACAAGACTGAAAATGTTCAGAGAAAGCACTTGGTTGGGGGTTAAGTGCAAGCAGAGGGACGTTTCTACAAAAAGGAAAGCTATAGTATTATATTCACAATGCATTTGGAGATGATTCACCTTAATAAAGGTACTGTGCCCTCATGTGTCTGGAGAAGACTATGAACTTGGGGTGCAAATGTCTTCAAAGAAAGAATCACGAAAGGAATCTTATAAGAGTCTGGATCAAAGTCATGTTCACTGAAGAAAAGAGAAGAAAATATTGAGTTGACATTGCTCTGTTGTCTAAATATTTGCAAATTAATTCTAATAAATGTCCCATGACCTTATGAAGGATTATTTCTAAGGGAATTATACCTGAATTCCTTATTGGAACAATGCTGTCGGCAGACAGGCTCATGATATTCTAACTCTTCAAATATAATTGGGCTGCAATTTGCTGAGGAGCCATCATGTGACTGGGAAGACCCCAAGGGGCTCTGACGGGCTTGGCTGCTAGGTAAGAGACACACCAGTCTTCCATTTCCTTGCTCACGGATTGCCACTGTATCTGTTAACTTATATAAATCTGACACATTCAACTTGTGTCCAAACCTACAGCAAGGAAAAAAAGGGAAATGTTGATTTGAAGAGAACTTTTTTTTATTATTATATAGAAATGCCTATGTATTCTGTTTAAGAAAAGGGCTATAGTCAAGTAGTGAGAAGCATCTCAGTTATCCTCTTATATCAAAAATGGTTCCTCTATGCCTTAAAAAGTTCAAACTAGAATAATTCTACTACGAATTCATCACTGTCAAACCAGTGATACTTGGCACTCCTTCAAGTCATTTCTGGCTCCTTGCCCATCACAGTGATTCCATCATGTGGGCTTCACCTAATCCACTGGCCAAGGCCCAAAGTGTCCCTGTCTTTCCCTTCTTCCACTTCCTCCAGTTTCTACGAATGATCTCCCCTGATTTTCTCAGATCAAAGGCTATTTGATATGACCACTCAACTTTGCTCCCTTTTACTTTCAAATCTTTCTCTATACAGGCATACAATCTTTCCATACAGACATACCTCAGAGATATTGTGGGTTCAGTTCCAGACCAGTGCAATAAAGTGAATCACATGCCTTTTCCCACTGCATCTACAAGTTATGTTTACATTATACTGTAGTCTATTATATATGCAACAGCATTATGAAAAAGTCAAAAATGTTAGAATGACAAAATGTGACACAGAGACATGAAGTAAGGCACATGCTATTGGAAAAATGGCCCGATAGACATGCTAAAAGCAGGGTTGCCACAAACCTTCCATTTGTAAAAAACCAAAAAAAAAACATATTATCTGTGAAGTGCAATAAAGCGAGGCACAATAAAACGAGGTATGGCTGTATTGCTTCTCCCAATCCCTGTTCTACTACCACAGAAGAGGTATACCTCCTTTCCACAGCTTCTCCCTTCCCTCACTTATACCTCATCCTCATGACCCAAACTTTGTCTCAGGTTTGACTGACTGATCAACCATTCTCCTAACTTGTATCTTTCATACTGTAGTACTTAAAGGCACTTAAAGGCTCTGGAAGCAGATACATACTGTCTCAATCCCAACCTGTGTGACCTTTATTAAGTTACTTAAACTCTCTGGGTTTTTTCAGTTTTCTCATCTATAAGATGGGGGTGATAATAACTCTGGTGGCATAGTGCCTAAGGCATCTGACTGCTAACCAGAAGGCTAGAGGTTCAAACCCACCAGCCACTCCTCAGAAGGAAGAGTGGGCAATCTACTTCGGTAGAGACACTGCCTTGGAAACCCAAGAAGGGGTCACTATGAGTCAAACTGACTCGATGGCAGTGAATTTGAGTTTTGGTAATACCTATCTTACAGGGTTATGTGAGAATTAAATGAGATTATACATGAACAAGTCTCAGCACAAGATTTACGGCACATATTAAGTGCTCAATAAATGTTAGCTGCTAACATTGCCTGTCCAATGCCTCCTTCCTAGTGTCCTACACATGTCAAACTTCTCTTCTCTGAACCCAATCTTCTGTTCTCTCGCCCTCACTCAGGCTCTCACCCTCAGTCTTGTACCCACTTGCCTTCTCTTAAATATAAAAGACTGGTCTCTCAGTCATCTGTCGATTCCTTCACTCCTGGATTTCATCTTGATTCTGACTCATAGTGACCGCCTTTGGGTTTCCGAGGTGGTAAATCTTTACAGGAGAAGACTGCCCTATCTTTCTTCCCTGGAGTAGCTGACAGGTTTGAACCGCCAACCTTTTGGTTAGCAGTCAAATGCCTTAGGCACTACACCACCAGAGCTCCTTACTATAAAGAGATGGATCTTATCACCAGAGGCCTCCTCCTCATCCCTACCTCACACCACTTAACTCAGTGCCCCCCAATGTTGCAGCCTATCACCACATTCCTGACCTGTTCTCTTTCCATACATCCTAGTTATATCACACTTACCTTTGGGTTCTCACTTGTGTCTCTGCCTCCAGACCAGCCCTCTGTTTCCCCTCTCTCCTTTGATCTTATCTGCTCCCATGATCACCTATAGGCAAGTAACTTTAATGATCACTTTTAGGCAAATAACTGCCATAACTTCAGAGCTGATTTGTCTCCTAAGGAAGCCTCCAAACGTGCACAAGACTACTTGAACTCTCTACTCAGATACTCCAGTGGTCCCCTAAAACTCACATGTCCCAAACCAAGATCAAAACACTCCTTGTACCTCCTAAACATGCTTTATTTCCTTATTTCTCTTTAACTACACAACAATCCTCCCAGGCATCCAGGCCAAAAAACTGGGAATCAAACTGACTGCCACTTTTTACCTTGTCCACTACATAAAATTAGTTACCAAGTCCTATTTCACCAGCATTTGAAATGTCAGTTGTATCTAGTTTCTTCCAACAGCATCTTCAGAACTTGGACTGGTGCAGCACTCTTCCTTCTCTCTCCTGCTCACTCTACCTCAGACATTGCTATTACCAGACCAGTCCTGAAATGTGTGGCTCTGATCACTACATCTCTCTCCTCTTCTCATTCCTCAAATACTTCAGTGGGTCCCCATTATCCACACGGTGTCAAGCTCCTTCCTTGCTCTTTCCTTTCTCTGTATTGCAAAGTATTTTCACTACCCTATCCCTTTTTTTAATGCATTTTCTTCATTTTACATAATAATTTGTCAATGTCTCCTCTTCCCTTCCAGACCATAAACTCCTCAGAGACAAGGCTGTGTCTTGCCTAGCTCTGCACACTCCACAGTGCCTCAGTCTTTCATTCTACTAACACTTGTTGAGCACCTGTTGCTAGCAGCTGTGCCAGGTACTGCAGATAATGGTATTAAACCCAACCCAGTCCCTGTCATCCTAAAGCTTACAAACTACAAGGTACTCAAAACTGTTTACTCAAAGAATAGTAAAACTAATCAGTCAATTAGAAAAAATAAAAGTACAGCTTTGGGGACTAAATTCTAAATTTTATAAAATTGAAAAAAGTTTTAAAAATACATATCAAAACAGAATTTTATTCTGAATACTCAGTTATGTTTGTCTCATTTCCTTTATAATGTTGGATGTTCCTTAAGAGTCACTATCACAGTTTTGTGCATGGAAGTCATCAATAAATACTGACTGAATTTATGTAAAAACAAACTTAACTTACTTCTTTTCATAGATATCTGTAAATTTGAAAAGAGGCAGACAACAGGCAGGAGCATCCTGAAGAATAGACACTGTTTCAGCACTGTAAGAAAAAATTTTAATTAATTAGCAAATAGATTCTTTTTTTCTACATTAGAAGCTATATTTTAAAGATAGTTTATAAAATTGATGAACACAATGTGTATGCAAAATAAATTTACCTGTTTCTGTATGTCAGAATTTATTTTTCAGAAAAAATATAAAGGATCTTAGGAATAAGCCAATTAAAGAATTAAGCCATCCACTAGGATATTTTTCAGACACAACTCACAGAGCTTTCCATACCTGTGTTTCAGAGAAACACTGACTACTCACAGTGGGAAGAACATCCTATTGCTAATTCAAAGCAAAAAGCAGAACAGTTTCAACCTCTCCTGCCATACAGGTAATTGAGAATACACAATTGAATAGAGTATGATCTGGTTTGCAAAAACAAAAAGGCACCAAAAAACATCCAAAGAGGGGGAAAAACTGAGCCACAGGATTATGCATGGTTTTTCTGCTTCTTTTTTGTTTCTGAGCATTCCAGAGTTTCTTCAATGAATATTATTTTTATTCTAAGGTACAAAACAAAAAACTGTATTTTAAAAAATATTTTTCTGCAGTTTTAATAAAAAAAAATCACAAAGCATAAATGCAAAACTCCTTGACCATCCAAACAGGCATCGAGGGGTCTTGTTTTATTAGCTCTCCTCAAAACAGAAGAGCCAGAGAACAATCAAAGTTTGTCATGAAATAAAATCACCATCAGACACCACAGTCAACATTTAGACTTATGGGGCTAGGTCTCTATGTAACATTAAGAATAAAGCTGCAAATTGAGAGCTTGGAGCTATGTAGGTCTACCTTTTATAGGGAGATCCATCTTCTACTGAGATTGAAGGAAATGTTTTAGATTCTTCAGGCTCATAAAACTTTATTATAGAAGGCTACTATGTTGAGAACCTAATCTGGATAGGTGGTATATTATTTTACTGCTAAGTGCCTGCTAACTTTAAGCTATACTTCATCTTTGCTTAATGACTTGAACAAGGGTCAAATAGCTTATTTATAACTCTAACACTGAGAATAAGCATTGCTATGTATGAACTCACTACCAAGGGGACAGGAATGTGATAAAATCTGTTTTCAGTATTTCCAAAATTGTTTCTGGATCAAAATGCTATTTCCTGAGATAAATGGCTTAGGTTTTTTTTTTCTTTTTTACCTCAGTAAAGAGAGTGATTTATTAGTAGCTCCTGTGGCAAGTGAGACCAGTATCTTCTTGCTGCCGATTTTATATCTGTGGAGGCTATTCACTGCACTGATTGCTTCTTGTAAGGTTTCCATCTGGACAACAGCCTTGAGCTGATAATCTGTATGGGGGCTGAGCTCAACACTCTTCACCTACGGTAGTAACAAAAAAAAAAGGAAATCCCTGTCATCCCAGAACCTTGCCATCTTAAAATGGAAGGTGAATCATTAAGGAATATGTTGGGAACTCAGTGCTTCCATGGGGGAACTTGTCTGGACTCTGCACTTCTGCTAACCAGAAGTCAAGTGAGCTAGGTAATGCTGACCTTGAGAGAAGGGAAACCGGCCTGGTCTGCCTGTGCCTTCTGACACAAACAGCTCTCCAAAGCAGACTCAGAGGCCAACACACATGAAGAATCTTCAAGGTCTTCTTCATACCTTGCAAAAATCCAGGTCATAGGTATTTTAAAGATCTGTAAAAGGTGTGTTTTTACACTGATATACAGATGAATAGAGGAGTGGACAGGCTGAACTATAAGGTATGTCTATGCAGGGGGAACATACCTAAGACCATGTATGTACAGGAATGGCAGACATTGTTTCTACAAGTATATTTGTATGTTCTGTAAGAATTTCCAGGTATATAGTAGAGCAGACAAGGGACAAGGCTGTAGTCACTTCTTGGCCACAGAGGGAGAGAACAGTTAGACCTGTGGGCTCAGGACCATAGTTGCAGGGGACATGAATCAACTGGCATCACACTACACAAAAACACTGTTCCACATCCTACTTTGGTGAGTAGTGACTGGGATCTTAAAAGCTTGCAAGTGGCCATCTAGATGCAACAATGGGTCTCTTCTCGTCCAGAGTAAGGAAGAATGAAGAAAACCAAAGATACATGGAAACAATTAGTCCAAGCAACTGGTATACCATGCAATCCTCAGCCTAACTATAAGACCAGAAGAACAAGATGGTGCCCAGCTACCACTGTCAACCACTCGGAGGGGGATCTATGTAGGAGATCCTG